GCCCCGAGTTCAAATCCAGCCTCAAACACTAGCTGTGTGACCCTGGGCAAGTCATTTAACCTCTGCCTCAGTTTTCTCAAGTGTAAAATGAGGCTAATAACAACACTTACCTCACAGGGTTGTTGTGATGATCAAATGAGTATATTTGTAAGGCCCAGTGCCTGGAACATAGTAGACACTATAAAAATGCTTGTTCCCTTCTTTCTCTTCCCCAAAGAATCAAGATTAGGAAGGTACAGAAGTAAAGTCAGAGCAGGGGTAATGGTCTAAGAAAATACTTAGGTTGTAGATATTGGAGATACTGGTTCAGTAAAAAGTAGGAGATTATGCTTGGGTGAGGGAATTTTTGAATTTTCAAAAATGAAAGTGCAATACCTGTGAGAGACGGCGAGATAAAAATTGTGACTATCCCTGTGTGTGGCTGTGGCTGAGTGGAGGAGTAGGTCTTGGGAGCTACTCTTGAGCAAGTGGGAAGTCATTTGAGAGAAGCTGTTCTCCTTTAATGGGTAACAAATATGTGGAAGAATTTGTAAGCAAAGCAATATTTAAGCTTTTAGGATGCATCTTGTAATTCTAATCCATGCAAATTATTTTATATATAAATTTGCCAGAAATTAAAGAGGGTAATAATAATGATAGTAATAATATCTGACATTTTATATGGGTTTGTCTTGTACAAATTTTACATATTCTTCTCATTGGACATAAACTTTTCACATAGATACTGTAATTCACAATAATAGTACCAACTAATTCATATTAACCTCTGAACTAACATGGACTTTGTTGGATAATCACGTAATCGAACTTAGTTAAGGAAACTGATCTTTATACATGGGGCTTTGTATGAAAATGATTCAAATTAGATTGCATTCCAATGAACTTTTAAAAACAAAAAGGTGAGTGAGAAAATTGAAGCGTGGGGTCTGAGATCTCACCCTTATGTAGGCTGAGAAAAGGAGGATACAAGGGTTTTGTTGTTGTTGTTGTTGTTTGAAGCAGTCTCCCCTTCCATAGAGATGAGAGGAGGAAAAAAAGACAACTTATCTGAGCAGAACTCATGAGGAAGATTTATGAAAAGTAAATGAGTAGTGGAGGTGAATATTTCTTAGAATGAACACCATAGGTAAAAGTTATTCGTACAAATAGGTAATGTGATAGAGTTGGGTGGCCAAGAAGGGATATCTTGTACCCCCCTTACATCTAATCTGAGCAAGGGAAGTATGTGTCAGGTGATGGGTATCACAATAAAACTTTGGGCTAAAGGGTGGGATGTTGTCTGTGAAAGGAGATAGAAATCATGTTGTGGTAAGAAAATAAGCCATAGAGACCTAATGTTAATTTTTAAAAACATAATACAATATAATTAAATGGAGGAAAACACAAATTTAAGCTATTATAACCTTAAATGTTAATGGTCTAAACTGGTCCAGATAACAAAGGAGAATGGCAGAATGGATTAGAAAACAGAGCCTTACAATTTGCCGCATGAAAGAAAAACATTTATAACCTAAAGACATATCTGGAATTAAAATGAGGTTCCAGAATAAAATGTATTATATTTTAGGAGAATCCAAGAAGCTAGTCTTGATATTGGGTAAGGTGAAAGTCAAAATAAACCTGCCAAGGAGGATAAATGGGGATGTTACATTATACAGAAAGACTCTGTAAATATTGAAATGTTATCAATATTGTTAAGCAATATTAATTGTTAATCAATATATGAACTGCAAAGCATAACATCTAATGCAATAAAAACCTTGATAGTAAGATAATTATAGTTGCTTTTAACATTATTCTTTTACAACTTGATAAATATAACAGAAAGATAAACAAGATGAAAATTATAGATCTGAACATATTTTATAAAAATCAGATTTGATAGACTTATGATGATTATTCAATATTAAAGAATCATTTTTCAGCATTATACAGTATTGTTCACAGAAGCTGGTCATGTGATAGGCCAGGAAGAAGTGATAAATGTAGGGCGAAATATTAAATAATCCTTAACAGACAATAACGTATTAATATAGTCATCATTAAAGGAAATAAAATCAATAATCCTAAATGGAGATTAAGTAACAGTATCCTAAATAATGAGTGGGTTAAAGAACTCATCATGGAAATGTTTAATAAAGCTTCCTTAGAAAAATATTATATTTTTGAAAATATGCATTATACAAAGAAAAAGAGACACTTAAAGAATTAAACATGCAATTTAAAAACTGGAATAGAGATTAAATCATCAAAAAAAACAATGAAAATGGCAAATTCACATTGAATAATGAGAAAATAAAAGAAAATTATCAGAAGCTACTAACCACAACTATATGCCAGCAAGATTGAGAAGGAAAGGGATGAATATTTACAAAAATAAAATAAAACAGCAATCAGTGTTTCTACACAAAGACTGAGTAGTCCATAAATGAATTCCTCCCCAAAAACCTCTTTCTGCACTAGGTAGTTAAATGATTCACCAAAATAGAAGGGGGAAAGCATTCTAACATGGCATTCTCCATTTAGGAGACAAGTAAATATTATTGATACCTAAGTGAGGAGGGGATTGCTGCCTGAATGAAGGCAGAGTGCACAGCTCCCCCATACTTTCTGACTGAACAATAATCAAAAAATCCAAGGAGAAACTACAGTGACTTCTTCTGCCCCTAAATGTTACAAAAATTTAGTCCAGGGCAATAAGAAAGGGGGCTATCAGCAAAGCCAGTGACAGCACAGTCAAACAAACCCTTAGCCTCTCAGGACAGCTGGAGAAAGCATCAGAGATGTTGTAAATCCATAGAAGGGTCCTTGGAAGCCCTAAGGAGCAGCACTGACTAATTGTTCTAATATTTCTGGTTGTCTCATGGAGTCATTGACTTTTGGGTTCTATTCTAGCTTTCAAGTAATCTGTTACTTGGACAAAGTTTACTCCTTTCTCTTTCAAACAATCTTCCTCCATTTTTTCTCTGAAGAGCTTTTGGGTTTTGTTTTTTTTTTTTGACTAGGTAAAGTGGCCATTCTCTTACTCATTTCTTACCTAGCCTTAATCACTGAATGGGCATTGCCTCAGTCAAACTGAGATCTGTTAAAGACCTTAGCTTAAAAAGAACATGGCCTTTCACTGCATCTAGGGCCATCTCTAGTTATTCTGATGTATATATTGCCACTGGACCCAGATGGCTCCAGAGGAGAAAGTGAGGCTGGTGACATTTCATAGTCCTCCCTTACTTAAATCCAATTCTCATGCATGTCAAGGCATCACCTCTTTGATGTCATGCTCCTATTCAATAAAGAAGGACAAACAACAGCAACGAGAACTTTTATTTTGTTTTTCATCTTTTGTTTCATTTTTTCAGGTATTCTTACAGTCCTTATGGAAAATACATTTTTCTTTGAGTTTTTGTATGTAATTATTATAGATTCATGTTTTTCTTCTTAGGGAATCTCTAGATTATATATATAATATATATGTATACATATACATATATATATGTATACATATACATATATATGTATATGTGTGCTCCTTTAGTGAAATAGAAGACTTTCATGTATTCCTGATGAAAAGACCAGAGCTGAATAGAAAATCTGACTTTCAAACACAAGACTCAAGAGAAACACAAAAAGGTAAACATGAAAGAGTAATCATAAGGGACTTAATAAGGTTAAACTGTTTACATTCCTATTTGGGAAGATTATATATGTAACTCCTAAGAGCTTTATCATTTTTAGGGCAGTTAAATGGCATTTACATAGAGGGCACAAGAGTAAGTCAATAAGAATAATCTCAAAGATATAAATAATAATTATCTAATAAAAGGATGAGCAACAAAGAGGTATGCATTGGGAGCAAGGGGAAGGGAGAGTAAGAACAGAGAAATCATCTTACATAAAAGAGGTGTATAAAGAAGAGCTTTTACAATGAAGGGGCAACTGGTGGGGGTGGGTGATGGTCAATGTGTGAATCTCACTCTCATCTAAATTGATTCAAAGGGGGAGGAATATATATACCTATATACATATATATATATATATGCACTCAACTAGGTCTAGAAGTCTGGCTTATCAATAGGGAATTAGAAGGGGAAAGGGATAAAGGGGGAGGGAGTGATAAAAAGAGGAAGATGGAGTAAGGTAGGCATTGGTCAGAAGCAAAGCAGATTTTTGAGGAGGGACAGGGTTAAAAAAGATAGTGAGAAGGATAAACAGAAGAAAATAGAATGAATGGAAATGTACAGCTAGTAATCATAACTATGAATGTGAATGGGATGAACTCATCCATAAAATTGAAGTAGATAGAAGAATGGATTAGAAACCAGAATCCAACAATATATTGTTTATGAGAAACACACTTGAAGCAGGAAGACACACACAGAGTTAAATGAAGAGGCTGGAGTAGAATTTATTATGTTTCAACTGATGTAAATAAAAATTGATGTAGTAATGTTGATCTCAAACAAAGTGAAAGCAAAAATAGGCCTAATTAAAAGGGTTAAGCAGAGAAACTACATCTTAATAAAAGGCACCATAGACAATAAGGTAATATCAATACTAAACATACGTGCACCAAACAGCATAGCATCTAAATTCTTAAATGAAAAGTTAAATGAGTTATAGGAAGAAATAAATAGTAAAACTATATGAGTGGGGGACCTCAACTTTCCCCTCTCAGAGTTAGATAAGTCTAACCATAAAATAAATAAGAAATATGATAAGGAAATGAGTAGAATTTTAGAAAATAGATATGATAGACCTTGGGAGAAAATTTAATGGGAATGGAAATAAGTAAACCTTTTTCTCATCTATACGTGGCATCTTCACAAAAACTGACCATATGTTAGGGCATAAAAACCTCACAAAGAGAGAAAAATAGAAATATTAAGTACATCCTTTTCAGACCATAATGCATTAAAAATTATATTCAATAAAGGGATGTGGAATCATAGATTCAGAATTAATTGAAAAGTAAATAATCTAATCCTAAAAAATAAGTGGACCAAGCTCACTTTGACAGCACATATATTAAAATTGGAATGATACAGAGAAGATTAGCATGACTCCTGCACAAGGATAACACACAAATTCCTGAAGCATTCCATATTTTTATAAGAATACAAGCTATTCCCCAATTGATAAATGCTCAAAAGGATATGAATAGGCAGTTTTCAGATGAAGAAATAAAAGTTATCTATAGTCACATGAAGAAATACTCTAAATTACTATTGCTTAGAGAAATGCAAATTAAAACAACTCTGAGGTACCAATTAAATACCAAAATGAAATCCTGAAAATCAAAGTAAAATTGAAAGTAAAAAAGGAAAATCCATTTAACTAATAAATAAAACTAGGAGCTAGTTTTATGAAAAAATAAAAGAGATAAACCATTGGTTAATTTGATTATTAAAAAAAAGAAGAAAAACAAATTACCAGTATCAAAAATGAAATGCACCATCAATGAAGATGAAATTAAGATAATTCTTAGGAGTTATTATGCCCAATTATATACCAGTAAAACTGACAATGTAAGTGAAATGGATGAATATTTACAGAAATATAAATCGCCCAGATTAGCAGAAGAAATAGAATACATAAATAGCCCTTCTTAGAAAAAAAGAATTTTAACAAGTCATAAATGAGCTCTCTAAGAAAAAAAATCCCCAGTGCCAGATGGATTTACAAGTGAATTCTACTAAAATATTTAAGGAACAATTAATCTCAATACTATATAAACTATTTTAAAAAAATAGGTAAAGAAGGAGTCCTACCAAATTCCTTTTATGACACAAATATGTCCCCTAAACCAGGGAAAGCTAAAAAAAAAAAAAGAAGAAGAAGAAAACTATAGACCAATTTTCATATTGAATATTGATGCAAACATTTTAAATAAAATGCTAGCAAGGAGATTACAGCAATCTGTCACAAAGATCATACACTATTACCAGGAATGTAGGGCTGGTTCGGTATTAGGAGAAGTGTCAGCATTATTGACTATATCTATAACAAAACCATCAAAAATTATATGATTATCTCTATAGATACAGAAAAAACTTTTTTTACAAAATACAAATTATATTATAAACACTATTATATTATAAACACTATAAATTATAAATACTATAAATACTTTATAAAGTGTTTATAAATTATAAAGTGTTTATAAATTATAAACACTATTATATTATAAACACTATAAATATTATAAACACTAAAATTTTAGGAATAAGTGGAACTTTCCTTAAAATAAGTAGTATCTATCTGAAATCATCAGCAAGTATTATCTGTAATGGGGATAAGCTAGAAGCCTTTCCAGTAAGTTCAGGGGTGAAGCAAGGAAGCCCATTATCACCACTATTATTAAAGATAGTACTAGAAATGCTAGCTGTAACAATAATTGAGGGAAAAGAAGTTGAAGGAATAAAAATAGGCAATAAGAAAAAACTATTGGGGGCAGCTAGGTGGCACAGTGGATAGAACACTGGCCCTAGAGTCAGGAGAACCTGAGTTCAAACTCAGCCTCAGATACATAACATTTCCTACCTCTGTGACTCTGGGCAAATCACTTAACCCCAACTGCCTCACCAAAACAAATAAACAAAAAAACCCCGAAACTATCACTCTTTGCAGATGATATAATGGTATACTTAAAGAACCCTACAGAATTAATTTAAAAAAAACCCAACTAATTGAAACAATTAAGACCACTAGCAAAGTTGCAGGATATAAAATAAACTCACATGAATCATCAGCATTTCTATATATTATCAATAAAATCCAGCAGGAAGATATAGAAAGAGAAGTTTTATTTAAAATAACTGCAGACATTATAAAATACTTGGGAGTGTGCCTGCCAAGATAAACTCAGGGGCTATATGAGTACAATCACAAAACATTTTTTTCATATAAATAAAGACAGATCTAAACAATTGTAGAAATATTAATTGCTTGTGGGTAGGCTGTCAATGTAATAAAAATAACAATTCTACTTAAATTTACTTATTTAGTGCCATCTCAATCAAACTACCAAAGAATTATTATATGGAGCTAGGCAAAATAGTAACAAAATTCATCTAGAAGAACAAAATGTCAAGAATATTAAAGGAATCCATGCAAAGAAAAAATGTGAAGGAAGCAGCTTAACAGTTCCAGATTTCAAACTATATTATCATCAAACTAATCTGGTACTGATTAAGAAATAGAGTGGTGGATCAGTGGAATAAATTAGGTACATAATATGCAGTAGTAAATGATCATAGTAATCTAGTGTTTGTTAAACACAAAGATCCAAGCCTTTGGGGAAAGAACCTACCATCTGACAAAAATTGCTAGGGAAACTGGAAAGCAGTTTGGCAGAAACTAGGCATAGACCAACATCTCTAACTGTAAACCAAGATGAAGTCAAAATGGATGCATGATTTAGACATAAAGGGTGATATCATAAGCAAATTAGGGAAGTATGGGAAAATATACCTGTCAGATCTATGGATAAGGGAAGAGTTTATAACCAAACAAGAGATAGCATCACAGGAAGTAAAATGTAAAATTCTGATTAAATAAAATTTAAAAGTTTTTGCATAAACAGACCCAATGCATCCAAAATGAGAAGGAAAGAAGGAAACTGGGGGAAAACATTTACAAGTTTCTCTGACAAAGGCCTTATTTCTCAACTGTATAGGGAATTGAGTCAAATTTATAAAAAATAAGAGCCATTCCCTAACTGATAAAAAGAAATCCAAGCTATCAATAGTCACATGAAAATGCTCTAAATCACTATTGATTAGAGAAAAGCAAATTAAAATAACTATGAGGTACAACTCAAACTGATCAGATTGGCTAACATGACAGAAAAGAAAAATGATAAATGCTGGAGGGGATGTGAATAAATAGGTACACTAATGCACTGGATGTGGAGTTGTGAACTGGACCATCCATTCTGGAGAACAATTTGGAACTATACCCAAAGAGCTATTAAACCAAGAATACCCTTTGACCCAGCAATACCACTACTAGGTCTGAATCACAAAGATCATAGAAAAGGGAAAAGGACTGATAGGTACAAAAATATTTATGGCAGCTCTGTTTGTAGTGGCAAAGAATTGGAAACTGAGGGGACTTCCACATGAGGGAATGGCTGAACAAGTTGTAGTGTATGATTGTGGTGGAATACTATTGTGCTATAAGAAATGATGAGGGGTATGGTTTCAGAAAAACCTGGGAAGACATATGAACTGATGCAAAGTGAAGTGAGCAGAACCAGGAGAACATTGTATATAGTATTAGCAATATTGTAATGATGATCAACTGTGAAAAACTTGGCTACTCTGATCAATACAATGATTTAAGACAACTCCAAATGACCCATGATTAAAAATACTGTCTACCTCTAAAGAGAGGACTAATGAATTCTGAGTACAGATTGAAGCACACTTTTTTCATTTTCTTTGTGTTTCTTGCTTTTTATTATTTGTTTGCACCATGGCTAATACGGAAATATTTTTTGCATGACTTCCCATGTGTAACTGATATCATATTGTTTGCCTTCTCAATGGGTAGGAGGTGAGGGGAGAGAATTTGGAAATAAAAAAAATTAAATGAATGTTAAAAATTAATTAATTAAAAACAGGACAGTGGTCTAGAGAACATGGAACCCTGCTTTATCCTGATCTAGACTACACTCACACTGGTTACTACCATGTCCACAATCACTTCCAAGGAACTTGGATCACACAAGACTTAACAGTTTCTACTAAAAAATCAGGAGGAAAAATTTGAAATACAATATTTTAAAAGGCAAAAGACATAGACTTACAACCAAAAACACCTTACTCTGAAAAGGTGAGTATAATCCTACAAGGAAAAAAGTGGATTTTTAACGCAATAGAAGATTTTCAAGCATCTCTGATGAAAAGACCAGCACTGACTAGGAATTTTGACATGCAAAAACAAGAATCAAGAAAAACCTAGAAAGGGTAAATGTATTTTGGTCATTATAATGGGCTATTTGATGATGTTACACTAACATTCCAATAGACAAAAAGGAAACAATTGTTCCTTCAGAACCTTAATGTCTTCAAAGGGTATTAAAGGAGATAAGAAAAATAGAGGACTTGTCATTGAACTGATTCTGCTCTGAGGGTTGAAGAGGGGAGAATAAATTGAATAAGCAAAAGGAAAAAGGAGAAAGTAGGGGATAGAACTTGCTATTTCTCATAAGTGAGATACATGAGAAGAAGAGTATACAAACATGGTAGAAAGGATGGGGAGAGCAGGCATCAAATGAATCTTACTCCTACAGGAAATGGAAAAACAAAGATTGAACACATTCATAACCCTTTTGGAACATAAATATATCACAGTGGACAGAAACAAGTGAGATTGGAGGGTACATTAAGAGTGATATAATAATGGAGAGGGAATAGACTCACTTCTATTTCTAAACTTTCTGACTCTGAAGGGAGAATTAAAAGGAGGGAAAAAACAAAGAACTAGAATCTGAGGAGTGCCCATCAATTATGGAATGGTTAAGTAAATTGGTGGCATATGAATGCAGTGGAATATTATCACATACTTAAGAAACTATGAAAGAGGTGATTGTAGAGAATTCTGGGTAGTATAATGATACAGTGAAGTGAGCAGCACCAGAAGAATAGTTTATACAAGGACAGCGGCATTGTAAAGAAAAACAGCTTTGAAAGACTAAAAACTCTGTTCAATTCAATAATCCAGGTCTGCAGTGCAACCATCTCTCTAGAGGACCTATAATGAAACATGTTATCTATCTCCTGACACAGGTGATGAATGGTGCAGAAAGAGATATACACTTTTTGGACGTGGTCACTATGGGGATTCATTTTGCTTGAGTATGCTTGTATGTTTACAAGTTTTTTGTCCTTTTCTCCATTTAAAAAACTGAGGATGGCTTTAGGAGGAGAGGTACAGCAAGCCATACTGTTTAAAAATAAAGTCATTGTGAATTTTTCTTAAATGCAGAGAAGAGAACAGAAGGAAGTACGGAAAGACAAGACCCTGTTGAAAATAATATGTGGAATTTACTATATACTTAAAATCCCAAGAGTTATGAAATAGAGATACCTGGTTTCATATGTAT